TTTAGATCATTTTGTGTTAGAATGTTACTCATAAGATAACTTAGTGGTTAAAGACAGACTAACGGAGCATAAGTAGAAAGTCGTCAACATAATATATTATACATAAAGTCTTGAAAACATTCCATCCACAATAAGTCTAAGCAGCAAGCTACTGATCACGCAATCCATAAGTTCTTAAGGTTTTAAACATACATAATTAAGAAAACATGACAGTTTAAGGCTTTAGCAGCACCAGTCTTATGCTTTTAAGTAGTTCTTAATTAGATATAGATAATGATATCACCAGCAAACCTTTTAACCTTGATTATTCAAGAAGGTGGAAGGTAATGATGTCAGAGGCAGAAGCTGCATGAAGGGCATGGTTGGGGTAATGGTGGTGATGGTTCTGGTGGAAACGAAGCGCGTAAGCACGTGACCCTTCGATTTGATATCCAAGAACCGAATCGTAGTCTCCTCCATTGTCTACTAGTCCATAGTGAGGATCTTCTGCTCTTAGTTCCTATTTCACCAAAGAGATTTTAAGATATTGAGAACTAAAAGCCAAATCCAACATTGTTATCTCTAAATTACATGGCATGTTTTGATATTTGATCTCATTCACGAAGAAAACATAATAGTGAGTTCGTCTCCACAAATTTCTATTATTTTGGCTGGCTTATGACTAGTTAAAACAAAACGCAAAGGATAACAAAAAAAAAGAGGGAACAAGGAATATATACCAGCTCATGTATGAGATTCTTTTGTATGTCTTGTTGACTTTTGTTCTGCAATTGAGTAAACCACAAGAGAAACTTTAAAGAGACAGAAACTATTAGGACTCGTAAGTGTCTAATCCACATTACTTTCGTTTAGCTTTTATGCCATAACAATATACGCTTGGTTTTTTCCTTTGTATCCACAAATCCGACAGTTTCCAAAAATAAGATACTGAAATCTTGATTATAAAGAGCTACCAGTTTCCACTTTTAAGCTTTAAAGACTATAATAATTTTAAGAAAAATTTGGAGTGTAATTAGTTACGTTTGAAAAGTTGCAAGGACCCAAAAATGACGTGGTTAGGTTTTATTATGTGGTTCTCCTAGGAAAAAGTGCGCCCAAGTTTTACTAATTGCATAATTTCCATTTATACAAAACTATTGAGACAAATAATATGATAAGATGCAAAAGTGAGTGAAGATAGTAGAAGATGTGACCTTTTTCTTTGTGGTCTCGATCTGATTCCCAAGGGACTTAAACTGTAAAATTAACATATATATCGATTAGAAAAAAACGAAACAGTCACATATATTATCCAACAGTAAACCAAATAAACTCAACAAAAATTATTTATCTATATTGATTAAACTCAAGTAAATTTCGAAACCAGAAATAAAAAGGAACATATATATAAATGGTTAATTAAAACCCTAGACAAGAGTTAATTAAAGAATGATGATGATACTTTGCGCTCGCGAACGAGTTTGAAAGTGTTTTCCATTTCGTCCTCAAGACTACGCAGCTCCTCAACATCAAGCTCGTCTAAACACTCACCTAGCCTCTGCCTACAATTTTGAGAAATAATATAGATTTCGTAATTTTGATTTTGAGATTTAAAGTTGCTGTTTAAGACACAGATCGAGATGAGAGAAGAGACAGAAACAAAGTACTTGATCTGAGTCCGGAGATTTCGATTTGTCTCCAACAATTTCCTCTTGGTTTCTTGCATTCTCTAAAACAAAGATTTCACCAAATTCAACAAACCAGAAAAATACATATAAGCAAGAACAAGAAGAAGGATCTAAAAAGAAGAAAACCTCATAGTGAGTGCTCCAGACATCAACATCAGAAACCGTTTGGTACAGATCTATAATCTCCTTCGTTCTATAACCAACACAAACACACATACACAAAAAGACGTTAATTGTAGAAGAACACGGAGCAATTTTTAGTTTAATTTAATAGTAGCGTGTAGAGGGATCATGTACGTGGTGTTAGGGCTGATAAACTCATGGAGCTTGTTGGAGCTAGAGAACATGATAATCGAAACCCTAGCATCGCACAAAACCGTGAGCTCGTGAGCTTTCTTGAACAAACCATTTCTTCTCTTTGAATACGTCACTTGTCTGTTCGTCTGGTTCTCTATCCTCTTGATCTGGATCTTCCCTCTCGCCATTACTCTTTTCTTTGTTTCTGTTTACTTTTGATCTTTTGTTGAGGAGAGATTTGGCGGAGAGGACAAAGAGAGATAATAAGAAGAAGAAAGAAGCGAAAGAGAAAAGAGAGAGAAAGTAGAAGAAGTAAAGGACCCACTTGAGTTACTATAAATAGAAAGATATAGCCGAATCCATGAAAGGTAAGTTCAGAAGTTGATGAAAACTAAGTGATGAGCTTTCCTCTTTGGTGAAGTGGAATGGACATATATGATGGTTAATTACAAGACACTGCTTTAAATCAATTGTCTATAGGTGGAAGAGGGGACCAAAGCTATAAACGGGTTTACTTTGGTTTCCGTCGATCTTTTAACGGAGCTTTGTTAATTTTCTACGATGTTTTTTTTCTTGTTCACACGTTTGACGACACACTAAACGGCGTTTGTAAACGTCAAATCTGTGCAGGTGGATTTGGTTGGTTTTTTGCCCTTACCCTAAAGTAAACTAAAGTTTTTAGTGTGAACCAAGTTTTTATTTTGTTGTTAAAAGCCAAGATTGTAATTTTTGTTTGTTAATTTAGGAAATTAGTTTTTTTTTTCTTTCTTGGATTTGATGTGAGTTCCATGTAATCTTCGACCTGTTCCCTAAATCTAAATGATTACAGTAATTATCAAGGGGATGTTATTCAATCATGAATTTAAAATGAGTTTTCTAGGTTTTATAATCTTTTAGATTTAAAATTTGATATCAGTTTTATGGATTCATTTGTTTAGATTTTAAAATCTCTGCAATATACATTAGATTTTGATTCTAATAATTTACTCATAAAAATCTATTAGAACTGATTTGAAATGACTTAATATACAAAGATTTTAAAAGACATTTAGTTTTGAATAACATTGGATTTTTGTAAAAGATTTAAAATCTTCATTGAATAACACTAAACTTTAAAATCTCCTCAACATGATTTACAATGAAAAAATTCAATAACATTGGATTTTCAAACATCATTTAGAATCATTAGTTGAATAACAATGGATTATGGTTGAATTTCAATTCTATTAAAAAATCTGATTGAATAACACCCCCAAGATTTTCCTATAAAGTAGATATAAAAGGAAAATATAAACCAAGGATTTAAAAGGCATTAGGAGGAAGTTAGGAGAAAAGTCAATTGTTTGAAGATAAGTGCTTTGGTCCAAAACCGATCTTTGGTACACTTGGATAAGATATCATCAATCAAATCAGATGTGCACCGTTCAATTATATAAAGAAATCAACTAGTAACATAATTTTACAACCTAGTCAATTTACATTGATGATAGGATATCAAACAAAACTTTGTATCAAATTCAAAAGCCAAACACAAGAACAAAGTTTCAGTTGGAATCGAGTTGTATTTTCATTAATTTCAACGCTTAAAATTAGCTAGGCTAATTAAAACTGGGTCAAGTATGCATTTTGAAGAGCTAAAGACGTAAGAAAAGAAATCACCGATTTGAACTATGGATCCATGGCGATTTTGTTATAAATCGGCCAAATTTAAAGACACAATTTTAAAAATATTCGGGTCCAATTTTAAAGGCCCATTACAAATCAGTAAATTTTAAGCGAATATTTGACGTATTAGAAATTTGAGAGCTTATGAAGAGTAGATTGAGATTCCTATATATAGTGCAGCTTCTGCACCGACAAAGCTACCCGCGACCAGCTTGTTTTTCTTTTCCCAACTTGTTTTTCATTTTTTTCCGTATGGTTCAGACGCAGTAAGATTCTTCCCTGAAACCTCTAATTTTCTCATTGGATCCTGCAAAAGGTTATCTGACACACGTAAAGAAAATGTATTAAATATCAATCTCGTGAATTTGTAACGGTATATATAATCAAATCAGACTAAGACATATTCATTGTCGAAAGGAGTGAAATTTGAATAATGTTCCCGCTTAAGAAGTTTATTCATACCTAGCATAGATCCCTCGATACTGGGATTGGGCTGCCACGGATGGACGGCTTCGCTCTCTATGTACTTGTGCGAACCACACTTCTTTATATCCCGACTCTTTCGGATCACTGAATTTAGGTTTAAGACATAGAGAATGTGGCATTTTTTCCTCATGGTCACACAGTTTCCGATTTTTTTTTTTGTTTTTGACAGTGTGGTCTACAATGTCAGACACGAGAAATCCGGAAAACAGGTGACCTATCGTGTGTGATCTCCCGGTACTATTAACTTAGGACGTATTGGACCGGTGGTCCAATACACTTCCCAATTTAACCTAAGAGGATCATATTTGCAAAAACTATGGACGCTAGCCTAATTTTTGCAAGGATTGAATTTATTCCCAACAAGTATAACTATAGTGAATAATTATTTTTGTAAATATCAGTTAGTCTTTGCTTATGTTCAAAATTGCACTAAGAGTTAGTCGGACGTTCGGGTTGGACCTAGCGTCTAGAGAAAAAATTAGAGATTAATCGGAAATTAATTAGAAATTAGTTTTAACTAATTTTAAATATATATATATATATATATATATATATATATATAATATACATTTCATAGACACAATCTAATTAGATGCTAGTTTGACTCAATTATTTTGTATTTTTGTTATTTTTTGGTTTTTTACTCCACAAGGTATTACTTTGCTGGGTTAATTACTGGGCTTTGCTCATAAAACGCTATAATTGGGCTGTACTGCTAACACTTTTTTTTTCTCGTACAATCCATGTTACAAAAAAAGATGTGACATTTGAAAGATCCCACATCGGCTGGCCACATGGAGGAAGGTAACTAAAGTATCTATAAATACTCACAGTTGCTAACGTCATCATCAAGTGGGCTTCCCTAAAGCGGAATTATTTGTTTAATACAAATCATCGGGTTAAATCGGTTTTAGGCTGATTACTAGGTTTAGGCGGCCGAATAATTGATAACCACCGGTTTGGTACAACTCCGGCTGAGCTACTGCCCACCTAGTAAAGCGTTTCATCGCCTAGGCGCCTGCATTTTTGAACACAGGTCTTTGTTAGAGGCCTAATTTCTGCTTTCATAGATATATAGTATTATTTCAGACTTCGACTCCATTGGAAAGCATTTTTGAGTTTTGGACTTTCTTCAGAACCAAAAAAGATAAAGGCTAAAGGCTGTGGATTTTTTTTTATGTTGTTGAACGATATTTGGTTTTACCCCATTCTATTCCCTCTCGTGTCTCGTCTATTCACCTTGCTCGATCTATAAAGGTAAATCTTCGATTTTACCTTTTTTTTAGTCCAAAATCTGTAAATCCATAAGTTGAATTCGAACTAGGTATTGCTTAGAAACACTTTGTATTGTGCGAATTGATTGCAATAAGGGTTTATAGCAAAATTTGGGAATTTTAAAGAAAATGATGATTTTAAGCAATTTTGGTGAACATGAGAATTTTATGAGTTTTATGATATATATATATATACATATGGTGAAATTACCTTTTTTTCCGAGTTTTTCTTAAACAAAGTTTACAGTCGATTCTTTGTGAAACAGGGTAATGCGTCTCACAAATTCGATTATCAATGAGCATCGCCGATTCTCATCGTCGTCACGGTCATGGGTATCTCCCATTTGCTTTACAGAGAAAACAAAACCAGATCCACCACCCGAATCATCAATCTCACATGTGGAAACAAACCCCAAAACCAAGTTCATTTCTCACGAATCTGCCGTTAATCTGATCAAATGCGAGAGAGATCCTCAGTGTGCGCTCGATGTATTCAACATACTGTCTCGGCAGAAAGGTTTCAACCACAACAGTGCTACATACTCTGTTCTTTTGGATAATCTCGTTAGGCACAAGAAGTTTCAAGCCGTTGACGCGATTCTTAACCAGATGAAGTACGAGACTTGCAGGTTCCAGGAAGGTGTGTTCCTCAACCTAATGAGACATTACTCCAGGTTCGATTTGCATGAAAAAGTCATGGAGATGTTTAACTTGATCCTAATGATTGCTCGTGTGAAGCCTTCTCTCAATGCCATAAGTACTTGTCTCAACCTCCTTATCGATTCAGGGGAGGTCGATTTGGCGAGGAAACTCCTCTTGTATGCTAAAAATCATCTTGGATTGCAGCCAAATACTTGCATTTTCAACATTCTAGTGAAGCACCACTGCAAGAACGGTGATGTCGACTCTGCATTTCGAGTTGTGGAGGAGATGAGAAGATTTGGAATCTCGTATCCCAACTTGATCACTTACTCAACACTAATAGAATGTCTGTTTGCACACTCGAGGTCCAAAGAAGCCATGGAATTGTTCGAGGATATGATCTCGAATGAAGGGATTTCGCCGGATCCCGTGACTTTCAACGTTATGATTAACGGGTTCTGTCGTGCAGGTCAAGTTGAGAGAGCCAAAATGATTATAGAATTCATGAAGAAGAATGGATGCAACCCTAACGTGTTCAATTACTCGGCTCTAATGAATGGGTTTTGCAAAGAGGGAAAGATCCAAGAAGCTAAATTAATCTTTGACGAGGTGAAGGAAACCGGGTTGAAACTCGACACAGTTGGTTACACCACATTGATGAACTGCTTATGTAAAAATGGTCAGATCGATGAGGCTATGGAGTTACTTGTAGAGATGAAAGCATCAGGGTGCAAAGCTGATGCTTTAACTTACAATGTAATACTCAGGGGCTTGTCCAGCGAAGGAAGAGCAGAGCAAGCTCTTGAGATGCTGGGTCAATGGGGATGCGAAGGAGTTCATCTGAACAAAGGTAGTTATAGGATCATACTAAATGCCTTGTGCAAGAATGGTGAGCTCGAGAAAGCGGTAGAGTTTCTGAGTTTGATGTCGAAGAAAGGGGTTTGGCCTCACCATGCGACTTGGAACGAGTTGGTGGTTCAACTTTGCGGATCCGGAAACGCAGACATCGGGGTTCGAGTTCTGAAAGGGTTTCTGGGGATAGGTTTCAAACCAGAGCCTCAGTCTTGGGGAGCCGTCGTTGGATCAGTTTGTAAAGAGAGGAAGTTGTTGCATGTCATTGAACTGGTTGATTCTTTAGTTTCTTGATAAAGCCCTTGATATTAGTTACAACCACACATAATGGCCATTACAATCACACATCACTTTGCAGAATCAAGAACATGAGTTATTTGTGATCAAAGTTCAAGCTATCATAAGGCACAAACTTTGACCCTTTTCCCCAATATTGGCATTGTCCATTATTAAAAGTTTGGAAAGCTATGCAAGAACAGTTCCTCGGAAACTTCCATGGCAGTCACTAAGACCAGAGCTCAAACTATCATCATAATATGCAAAAGAACCATCCAAGCAAAAAAAAAAAAACCGTCACTCTAAAATACTTAATTGATTCCCACCATGCTTCCACACGGCTATGATTTGACATGGCGTTGCAACTATAGAAAGGTAAAAAAGAATGTTTCAGTTTGAGCCTTATACTTACAATTGCGTTGCTCTAAAATTGTAACGTGAGATGAGTTTAGTTTTTAAAATGAGGACTTTGCTGCATTTTTGTGAAACAACTAAGCATTGAGTTAACTTTGTTACTTGTGTATGTACTGCCTCAGTATCTGGCATCAAGAACTAATCCATGTGGCAATAAAAGAAACAATATGATTCTTAATTAAAATGCAATAATTATTGGTTTAGATATGGTTCAACAAAAACAATGATCCGAAAAAAAAAAAAAAGACTAACAATAATATAGAAAACTGTGAATTATTTAAGTTATCTTCTGGCTAAGATCAAAAGTAAAATAAAATAAAGTATAGCAAAACTAGTCTTCTTTGTCTCTGGGTTTATGCTCACTGGTTTCACCTTGAGAGACACTAGTGGTCTGATCAACTCGTTCACAGGCAGCTTCAGAAGTCCTGGCTCGAGCGGGTTCCTCTACTTGACCAAGGCTTCGTAGCATCATAATGACAGCAACCAAGAACACAATGATGTACACTGATCTAATCCCGATCATTGAGTTGATAAATCCCATCAAAGATGGTCCTTTGATTCTCTTCTTCTCTGTTCTTCCTTCTCTATATCCCTCTAGAAACCTGGAAACTTGAGTCAAATGATCTTCCTCGTGGCTAATAGTTTCTATACCGTTCACCTGCATATTGTATGTCAATAAAGAGATTTTGATGCGATCTCGTATTTACTTATCATTCTACCACTAAAAGCAGTTTTTTTTTACCTCATCATACTCCTCATCGCCGTCCCACACAACAATCTTAGGCAGCTTTGCTTTCTTGTCTGCATGGAACGAGTCTGCAAATTCTTCAAATTGCTCCACACCTACGTAGCCAAAAACAAGGTCGCGGTTGGCATAAGCAGCTGCTCTCAGTGCTTTGATCAGTTTCCCCAAGCTTTCGTGAGTTTCATCTTCCACAATTGTCAACACCATCTTTCTCTCATCGTCTTTCAGCAGCTTCAAGGTGTCCTGGTTAATTGGCAGAACCAGAGGAAGAAAATTTTGTTTTACAAAATCCTCCAAGAAACCATCTGCAAACGAAATTATAATAGTGATGCTTGTCAATCTATCTACTCTAGAAAGTTCTCAGCACTCATTTACAAGGACAAATCAGGTCATGGAAACATGGTTTTGGTATTACTAAAAGAAGTAAACATTGACCTTCAAATGGCCCATAGAAGACGCTACGCTCATTGTACGATGGATGTTTGGCTATTAATGCAGGAGCCTTATCGAAATCATAGGAAACCATTACATCCTCTGAGATATCCTTTGCAACAGCAAACCATGCCTTTTTCTTATACTTTGCACCTAACGCTGTTATCAACGACTCGTTCAAGCCAAATCCAATAAACACGGGGAAGAAAGTCCCTGCATCTTCAACAAAATCCTTGACAGCTGCGTCTGACTCAAGAACCGCAACATCTGAAGCGACAAATTTTTTCAAGTAACGGACGAGCAAATCAGCTTTCCTCGGTCCATAGTACTCCATTGGAACTCCATGATTATAGAGCATGAGTGTCGGGAACGCACTGCAGACAAAAAAGGTATATCAGCCAAATAAACTAAAAACATGGCAAACTAAATCCGCAAAACGAAGCAATTTAACGTAAAAATTTGGAAAACAGTTTGCATAACCGATAGATTATGATCAGCAAAATGGAACCTAAAGCTTGAAACTTTTCATTTCCCCTGATTCAAGCAATTAGCTAAAGTGATTCAAGCAATTAGCTAAAGTGATTCAAGCAATTAGGTAGAGTGATTGCAGAGCGAGAGAACAGACTAAAACTCAAATCAGAAATTAAATAAAGTGATTGTAGTAGAGGAACCTAAAGCTTGAAAAGTTTCACTCCTGATTCAAGCAATCTAGCTAAAGTGAATGCAGAGCTAGAGAATAGATAGAAACTCAAAAGTTAGCTAAAGTAATTGCAGCAGAGGAAACCTAAATCTTGAAACTCCTCAGACTCTCGATTCAAGCAATTAGCTAAAGTGATTGCAGTGCTAGAGAACAGACTTGAAACTCAAATTAGAACAACACATACTCGATCTCAAGCTTCCGTGCAAGACGAGAATATTTGTCAGCATTCAGCTTCGCAATGACGATAGGTTTCTTCAGTTTAGCAAGAACAGGAGCAGCTGCATCTAACTGCATCAGATCGAAAATTGGAGCATCAATAACGAAACTACGCAATTAAGGTATAAATTCGATCTACAAATCCGAAATCGGAGAGATCAAGAGTTAACTCAAGCAATCTTAGACCTAAATTCGACTAAACCAATAGCAAATTATACAAACGCAGATCAAGATTCTAATACCTCGGGGTTAAGACGCTTGCAGTGACCACACCATGGAGCATAGAAATCGACAAAGATGCAATCGAAAGTGGAAATCGCCGAGTCGAAATTGGAATCAGTGAGTTCCAGTACTTTTCCGTTGACGTTGAATTGATCATCCGATGAAGAAGCAGAGAGTGAAACTGATAAGGCCGAAAACGAGGTCCAACAAAAAACCAGAGCTAACGAACGCATCTCGATGGAAGAAGATCTAAGTTCAGCCAAAAAAAAATCCAGTTCTTACTTTAGCACAATCTCAAAATCCAGTTTACATTTTTTTTTATTATCATTATTATTTATACAATAGGAACTGAGTTCAAAATTTCGGCCAGGCCGCCTCGACGATTAATCAGAGCCGAGTAGGCGATCAGCCGCCACGATGGAAGATGATTTAAACTCAGTAAAAAAGAATCCAAGTCTTACGTATAGCGCAATCTCAAAATCCAGTTTCCAAAATTTTTAAAATTATCATTGCTATATATCAGCCAAGTAGGCGATCAGCCGCCACGATTTTAGGCTACGCAGTCAACTTAGGCGGACAACCAATTTTATACCGCCTAGAACCGCTTTCTTAAAAAATCGGTGACTTACTATCAATAATCGGGCCCAAATAAAGTCCAACGGGAATTGAATCGCTCAAAGAAATCGTTGCCGGCCCACCACTTTGAAGGGATAAACTTAATTTTATTGAGGATAAGACTCTTATTTATAGTGCAGCTTCCCCTTCTCAATTATCAAGTTTGTCGATGTGGGATAAACCAGAATACCTTTTTTAAAAAAAATGTCATGGATATTTATAGGTTTGAATTAAATTTGAGTCCTCAACACACCAATATGTTTTCTAAATCTATCATTATGCACATATTTATACAAACTTTAATTCATATTTTATCAGTTATCTTGGTGGTTGCGAGTCGTAGATCTTGGAAAATATACTCACGCTTGATTCAAACAAACATGTATTTTTAATTATTCTAACGCTTAAAACTGGGTCAACTATGCATGCTGCGAAACTAAAGACGTTAATGAAAGATCTATCAAGACATGTTCCCTGTTGTTAAGGTAACATTAAACAAGAGATACAACTACACAAGCGAATTCACAATGAACACTTCACTCTCGTTCTGATCTCAATCCCCTTTCCCTCTTCTCTTCAAGTACTCTTTCACGCGACTTTGGTTTGTCTCAAATATAAAAGGCATTCCTCGTATCTGCGCAACAATATAAATATATCTCGAGCTCAAAGACCTAGACACGTTCAATAATTTTTTAATGTAAATGATCAGAAAGTGTATTCAAGATCAAACCTCAACCAGACAATCAGATTTTAGGATTAAAGTCTGTCCAGGATCTACTTCCTTCTCATTTACTGAGATTGAATACTTCCCAAGGTTTTTCATATGAAACCACCCATCATCACCCAACCGTATGATCGCCTGCATTCAACAACCAAAAAAGCACACAAGTTTGTTGTTACATATTATGGGTTTCTTCTTCTCATACAATCCCACAGTTCATATATGTAATGGAAGCATTCTACTATTGGCCAACCTGGCGTCGAGATATTTTGCTGCCCCGCTTTTCTCTTCCCAAATCAATGTCCACCGCGAGATCTTCTGTTGATCTACCAACCAAAACCTGTTCCAAGAAAGAGGTAACTACTTTAACAACTAATACTATCATTCTTAAGAAGTTTAAATCATATGACGACGATACTTAAAAGACTACCAAATGAATATGATCATAATACCTCAGGCTTCTTGATGTAGTGTTTTGAATATCTACCATATAAAACAGCGAATGCACCACGGGAAGCAATGGCTCTTTGCATATATGAATAAGCAGCCTGTTCAAGTCTTATAATTGTTCTTTTCATGTCTTGGCTCTGATACTTGGAGACTGCAAGTGAAAACGTTCAAGGAATAACAAATAAGTCTTAAAACCTTTCATAAGGTCTCCTGCATCACCAATTGGAAAGGCTCCCTACATTTTCACTACAAATTCCTCGTAAACAATGGCATGTAATGACTTGCACAGGCCAAAAGCACAGGCCAAAAGCGGAAAATAAATTCCTCATTCACATACTAAACCTTTTTTTTTCCCCCCAAATAATGGAGAGGGTTCTATTGAATGAGAAGGGATGTTCAATTACCTTCAAGATCAAAATTATCTTGGTCATCAGGATCCAAGTCCATGTCAAGTATCTGAAATGGTAAGAGCGTTACTGTTTAGGAGTAAATGTATCATAGAGCCATAAAGCTCAAGAACAAGGGTGAAAGTCGAGAGTTACCATAGCCTCAATGTCAGAGTAATTTGGCAAGTCCTCGTCACTCTCACAAACATGCCCGTCTGCTTCTGTTTGAGTGATTTCCAGCTCAGGGTCCGAAATCTCTATCAACCCAATATCAGCATCTTTTGCATGTGACACTTCATTTAGAGGTAGTACACCTTTTTCCTCTTTACTGTTTCCACTATCCTTCTCGGGGTAGCACCCGTGACTATCAAATCCGACGATGAGTTTTCCTCCGGTTATCCCGTTGTTTCCGTCTTTTACACCAACACCGTCAGAAAGCAGATTGTTTGAGCATGCCTGTGCAGAACCAGTAGGACCACCAGGAGCAACAGTATTATGTGACTCAGGACTAGTCAATGCCCTGAATTTGATACCTTGACTTGGTTGACCTATCACTGGCTTTCCTTGAGAAGACAATTGCAAACGTCCTGGTATCTTCTTTTGTGTCTGGAGTGAATACCCCTCACTTTTTTCCCTAGTGGCAGAGAGATCTCTAACACATGAAGTTATTGGATTATTTGTATCTTTAAAGTTCCGCCTGGCTAAGGAAGAAACTGACATAGGATGGCAGTTGTTGGTCAGAAAAATGTCATCATTACACGGAATATCAGGATCCTCTTGGTTTAATACACAGCAGATAACACCACCAACAATCTCAGGATGAGGATCTAAATCAGATGAGTCAGACCTCATTGCACTTGTACCACCTAGCTCAGGTATCACATGATCATCTACTGGATGCGTTTGGGTGCCGGAAGGATCTTGCTCGGTAGAAAGAGGCAAAGCCCCGTTATTTGTATCATTTGTCGAATTTACCAACAGTGAGCTAAGACCATCATAATACAACTTGTCAACTTCTTTGCCATCTACTTCCATGAACGGTTCCTCGTCTTCCAAAAGAGAAGTTGAAAGCTGTGCCAGGAAACAATCAGTGCTCGTCATTGTGGTTTTCGGCTCATGAGCAGAAAGTTCTAGTTTCTGCTTGGAATCTTGATGAACAGCATCACATTCAGAAGGACCTACATGTTCAGTGAATGTGAGATTTTCTCCTCCTGTGTAGGAGATGTTTCCATGTACATTATTTTCTGACACAACATGATTTGTCACGCAATCGTCATCAGCCAAGATTTCTGGGAACGCATTGTGGATAATATCCATGTGAGAGTCTTCAAGACCAAGATGTGTTGCATCACCATTATCCATGAAATGGCTGTCACTTGGTGGAACAAGAAAACCTAGATCCAAGGAATTGAATGACTCAGTGCGAAATTTCTTCCGCAAGGAATGATAAGTAGTTCTGAGCTTTTCAGCCTTCCTCTTCCTTGATGAACTTTTGTTTTCTTTTGAATATCCAGTTCTAGCAAACTTTGTAGGAAAATTAGGGTTAGTACGTTCAAGTTCAGTCATCCGAAAAGACGCCTCTGCAGAAACTACTGGATCATATAGGAGAGCATGCCATCGATCTTGCAGTTCTCTGATAGAAAATCTTCTAGAAAACTGTACAGCGCCTTTAGCAAGTGATTCCAAAGATGCACCAGCCTGCAAATCAATTAAGGAGATCAATCCACTTCATTGCTAGAATGGATGCTATCCTCATAAAGTAGCTCTGAACAGAAAACCAAATAACTCCATGAAAAATATCTAATATCTCTTTTTTTTTCTGGTGTTGAGAAAAGAATACATCTTTCGGCAATCCCCTCACAACAAATGATTATGTTGCTTGATTAGTGGTACAACTTTATTTAGAGCAACAATTCTAGCTTGCCTTTCCCAAACTATTTTGCCATATTATTTCACATTTCAGGGCATAACACTGGGGTAAGATATATTAACTGGATGAAACAAAAAAAATTGACATGAAAATTCTAATATTTCGTGATATCCGCAACCAACCTTCTATCTCAAGACACAAAAAGGAAAAAAAAAATAAACAGATGAACGAGAAAGAAAATCAAATGTAGATACAAAGCAATTGCAAAGAATAAACCCCAAAAAGAACTTGACAGTAAACACTGATAACCACTAATGTTTCCAACTACCTCGTTTGAGGAATTTGATACATCTTTGAATTTATGCATATATTCAGACAAACTATGTCTAACCTATGGTGAGGTCGTGGCTCAATCCAACACGAGGGACATGAAAAGATGTTCCATTCTCAGTAATAAATAACAGAAGCAGAAATTAGACAGAAGTCAAGGAAAGGAGAGTGTTCACCTCTATGGCGTTCTTTAGCAGAAGGTCGTCTTCGGGTATCCACGGAACAACCTGAGCAAGAGCTCCCATGTTCAACTTAAGGCTTCTCGCTAAACTAAATCCCTAACAAGTGAAAAATCGAACATAGAAAGCTAATTGAATGACAACATTCTCGGAAAGTGAAAAATTTCAGAGAGAAATCGACCAGAAGTAGCTCAACAGAGAGATGGAAAAACCTGGATTTGATTTACTGTTTTTTTGGAGGCTCCTCTGCAATCAATGATCTCGATTGATAGCTTTTGTTTCCTATGAGCTTTTGTCGCTCAATCGTATTTCTGAGTCAAAACGAAATTTTTTTTTTTTTTTAATTCGAGGATTTGTGTGGATTGAATTGGGCCTTCAGTTTTTTTGACAGCGGAAATATTAATTTGGGTTAAAAGCCTAGAGAATAGTTACCCATTTTAAGCAAGCTTGAAAGAGAAATTAAGCAAGTGACGAACTCACGATTTGCAGTTGATTCAGTCCGCCATTACAGGATACAAGAGGAATTCCATTTCTTTTATTATGTACTGCAAGGAAAGGATCAACAGATTCAATACTTGTCGTTAAATTCTCAAGGACCAGCAATTCGATTATGACAAGGTTGATGATTACCAAATCAGTGTATAGAGGAGATAGAAAAGACCCCTAATTGAGAAAACCCAACAGGAAAGGAAATGACTTTGAGGAGGAAGAGGAGGCGGCGAGCCACTGAAAAATGTGAAACCCTAATTTTTGCCCGGTTGTCTCCGTCGTCTAAGAAGATAACGTCCTTTAAGGAATGGGTTCGAAAAACGACAGCGTTTCGATGATGTTTTATTATTAATCTCTGATTCCCTAATAGTTTGGAGTTTATTTTCCTAAAAAGAACAGCAGATTACACCTTTTCTTTTTCTCTACTGCTCTTTTCAACTTTTTTTTTTTTCTTTCAAAAGATAAAATTTCCAGGCATTATCGCCTACAGAGTATCACCAACGATGAAGTGAGATAATTAATTTTGGAGTTGGAACAACATTTTAATGATTCATTTTGGAGTTGAGTTTTTCCACTGCAATATCATTCATGGTCGGTCAAACCAAAATACTCGGGTTTTTCACACACAGAATAATAATCAGATGATATATCTTGATAATTTCTTTAAGAACTAAAAACCTTGGTAAGTAACAACCATTAAGATTCATCGACGACTCGTACAATATTCTTAATTTACAAACAGCTTCTTCATAAGTTCGTACGTAGAGTGTATACAATCATACTTCTTAATGCTTAGTATTGCAAAAGTACTGCATTTGAAACCATCACAAGATACAGAGCACTCCGTTTCTTCGACCCTTGAGTGCAAACACAACATTTTTGCTTTCTCGTTCATTTATTCAGCAAAATTCAACGACGACGTGCTTAGGTATACAGTCTATATATATATATATATATATATATATATATATACTTACAGAAGCCTGCACCGATATTAGCCTCCATTAGAGTGCAGTTTCTGCAGGTGGCTGTTCAGGCTTCTCTACTTGCTTCTTCAGAAACTCCAGCACAGAGAGACGCTGCAGTCATATTAAAATTACTTTGTCAGATCATTTGTACTGGCAATCAGTAACTTTTGAGAAGCCAAAGAAAGGATGTTGTGCAAGAATCTTACTCGTTGCTCGAGAGCAGAATCTTCAGAGTCCAGTTTCAAAGATTCCAACAGTTTCATCCCTTCTTTGAAACCATCTGTGGCTGCATCTTCATTTTGTAGACTCCTGTCTATATCCGCAACTTTGGCTAAGGAAACTGCCACATCAAGAATCTACAAAAAAGTTTGAAGAAATAACAATCAAACTCAGTAAAGGTTTCTTTGTTCACCAGCGAGACTTTTATCAACGAGACATTCATTGAACACTTATCTATCTACTAGTCATACTTTGATTAACTATAGATTCTCAACTCTCGCCTTGAAACCCAAAAAAAATTTAAAAAATCTAGAATTCCAAAACATTTATGCCTAGCTCCCTTTTAATCAGCTATTAGCTTCCCGGCTTAATGTCGGCTGCTGAGATGTCAATTAGGTACAGTAACTACAAATCCCTAGGCTAGTAATTATCTTCCTGTACTAAAATAGCGAGAAAGCCTTATCACAGGTGAACATTCGGAGTAGGAAATGTGTTTTCATTAACTTGGGCTAAAGATGCACATTGTTCATACATCAGAACATCCAAGAAGATGAGAGTTCTTAATGCAAAATATGACTCTGGGTCATCTGATCCGAAAAATTCAAAATATCTAGTAACAGTGCTTTATTTATCACTAAAAATAACATGCTAGGATTAGCAAAACCCTGGTCCAAAGAGCAAAACTGAAATAGCATCCAGGCATACTTACTTGTGAAGGAGCATTTGGGTGATGCTTCATTGCATCACGTCTAACATTTAAAGCACGACAGTAATACGACCTTGCAGCTTGTAGGTCTTCGTCATAATATTTAAGATCTCCTATTTTATTGAGCGAGACAGAGAGTGTATGTGTAATCTGCAAGTTTAGCAATAACTGTTATAAAATGGTAACACTTTGCAAATTAAAATATAACAAAAAAAAAATGTGCTAAAACCTCCAAATCATCCATCGGCAGTTTCATAAGGAATTCAATACTCTCTTCGAAATGATTGACTGCAGAACTTGAGTCTCCCATCGCTCGGCTGCAGTAACAAGATCAATTAAGTTAACCATCGAACTTAAGTGCCAAAAAAGAGAAATTTCAACACACCGAACAGAAGAACAAATATTTCGGCCAAAATAACGCAGTATATAATAGTATCTCTAAAATGCAATGCGTAGCCTAGGCACGTACATACTCCCGGGAAAATGAAAGCAACTACCAGATTCCAGAACATAGCATCCAGTAATATAATAACTGAAAAAGTACATAAATCTGCATCTAACACTCCAGGAAATTCAACTATCATTTCAGGAAACTGCAAAGGAGGGGCCACGCACTTGAGAAACTCCAAGATTAGAAAATCACTATGAACAACAAAGTGTCTATAATTAGTTAAATGAATGAAATAGGTAGGTGAGGGATCATAAAAGTGCATATTGGTGGCCACATTTGAAAGCATCCTTGTTTGCTGAATCTTATTTGTTGACAGAAACTCGAGAATGGATACATGGGATAAATAAACGAGACAATGAGCATACCTGCAGTCGCCGAGCATACCAAGGACTGCACCAAGCTGTGAACATAACTCTGGTGTATTGCCCTCCCTCCCTAATTGATCTCGAATGTCCTCGGTACACATAGCCAACCTTGATTTAGCACTTTCATAATTCTGGGCTTGAAATGCCTGCACATACAAGTTGAATAAGAACAAGGTCAATCAAAGGAACGCAATAGCAGGGCATTCATATTAAATGTAATTGGTTGAAATAGAAAAACCCCACCACACTAGGTTTAACAAAATCTAGAGATAGAACTCACCCTCATAGCTTGTTGCACCAAGAAAGAACCTCTTTCCATGGAAACATCAGCGTAAATAACTTTTTTCGTATCGTTTTTGACCTCTTCTGTTTCAGCGCTATTGACTCCAGATCGCTTGATTCTAGCATGGCCTTCAATAAATTGATCAACCATCTTTTGAAGGTTTTCATCAGGTTGAATACTTTCGATATCAGCACCACATAGAGGGCAGTCCTTAAACCGTGATAAACACACTCTACATTCAAAGAAAGAATAAGCTTCAATAAAAGTAGTCCCAATCACCATCGATCACGAGACAAGAACGAAAACAGGGAAAAGCTGGACACCAAGCGGCTGAGCAACTAGGGCTTACTTGCAGAACACATGAGTACAAGGCACACATCTACTGCTCTCATATAGAAGTGCTTGACATAGCATACAGCTAAAAGGCCCAAGCTTGAATGTTTGGGAGTCATAACCAAAAGGGCACTTGGCAGGCACCGTTGCAGAAGCAGTAGAGTCCCTGCTTTCGAGTTTGGGTGATTCTTTACTCGCCATTTCGTCGCCTTCGTTGGGACGAGCAGCTTTGGAGAAAGGGCAGCCAGAAGCCGTGACTTCGCCTTGTTTTCGAGCAGAGGCATCGTCAGGACGAGCAGCTTTGGAGAAAGGACAGCCAGAAGCCGTGACTTCGCCTTGTTTTCGAGCAGAGGCATCGTCGGGACGAGCAGCTTTCGAGAAAGGGCAAACAGAAGTCGTCATTTGTGAAGAAGATAAAACAACCCTGCACCACAAAGAAAATTTTGAACCTAAAATTACCAAAACTTGATTTTTCTAGAAGATGAAACACGAAATCGATAAGATAGCTGGCACGGCTTCTCGCTAAACTAAATTCCTAACAACTGAAAAATCGAACATTGAAGCTAATTGAATGACAACATTCTCGGAAAGTGAGATTTCAGAATGAAAACTACGAGAAGTAGCTCATCGGAGAGGGAGAGAGAGAGATGGATAAACCTGGATTGGATTGGATTGAGATTTGATTTTGATGATTGTTTCTGCAATCAATGATCTCGATGGATAAACTTTTGTTTATCTGAGTTTTTGTCGCAGCCAGTCGTGTTTCTATGAGTCAAAACGATATTTTCTATTTATTCAAGGATCTGTGTGGATTGAATTGGCCCTTCAGTTTTTTTGACAGCGGAAATAGTCATTTGGGTTAAGCCTACAGAACACTTTACCCATTTTAAGAAAAACGTTTTTTAAAAAAAATAAAAAATACATTAAGAGAAAATTACATGATAAAAATAGAATTTGATTGCTAAGATCATATTTTCCAAATACAATTTTCTTCTCATCACAAGTAAGTGAGTATGAAAGTATAAACACATAATCTAAGACAAAGAGACACCGGTGCAGAACTCTCTTAATTCGTTCAATTCCAACTTCCAAGCAAGTCATAACCTTTGAAACCTTTTTCTGGATGACGAAAGTTTGACTGCTTTGCAGGCAACACAGTGCACCCATCAGAATCAGTACATGTCTCAAGACCACACTCATGGCATAAAGATTCCGCATCCAACTCCTGAAATTCCCAAAGTTGGTTTATGACATTTCAAGTGTACAAAAACCATTCTTAGTGTAGTGGTTGAAGTATACTTCTCGTCTGGCCTTTACCTCAGTTCGATTCTAGCTATTGTTTAATAGGAGGTTTTTCTTTCTAAAAACAAAAAAAAAAAAAACAGAATGAAAACAAAAGATAGGGGAGTCTTACCTTCATCATCAGGTTCTGAGATAGCTGTAGGAGAGGATAGGGTTGAAGTTTGTAGCAAACATTGTTTATGCATTGCACAGCGAATGATCGCATCTTTTACAAGTAAAACATTCAGAAAATGATCAACAAAATTGAACAGTTTACTCCAAATGTATAAGCACTTTATAGTTTATACCAATCCACATACCAATCCATGTAACTATATAATATGTTTTGTTTACCAAACCAGCATATTTTCTAGTCCAAATTTGTGTTAGATTTCTCGCATTTCTTCCCATTTCATAGTACATAAAGCCAGTACCACTTAAAGTGCCACAAATACCATCCCTGAGAACTAGGACACAACTGCATAATTATATCCATACAAGCTCACCTCTCTAATATGGGGTTCACTTGTGCAATACTGCAAATATGTCGCTTCAGAAGCCGTTGTTCTCAAGAAATTCTTGTAATTACCAATCCGATATGACCTGCAAGAAAAAATGAGGAAATCACATCATACTTCAATTCATCTTTCCTAAATGTTGTCGATTTAAATAACTCATACGCAAAGGATTGAATAGCATAACCCTACCTTAAAAGGTTTCGTACAAAACATATTTCCTTGGATTTTATTAAAGCAGATGTCAACTTGCGAAACCACAGAGACAGTGGTTCCCCCTGCAGATCAAAATCTCAAATGTTTCGTATTAATGGCAAAAGAGGTGACATGGTGACTGATCAAAAGGGTGAAGGAAGCAGAAAAACAACCAACGCTCCACTACTAGGATTAAGATGAAGCAGCACATAGAGTGAACGGAACTCCGCTTCATTTTCGTAGATGTAATCTGGTTTCCTATTTGCATCATATATATTATACAAAGAGGTGAGAGTTTTTGCTAGCTGCTCCATGTTCAAGTGATGCATTGAGCTGATACTTGTACCACTACAACTCTGAAGCCTCTGGCGAGATATGACGTGGAACTTAACCTGTATGGAAGCGATTTTAGAACCAGAATATAATAACATCAGTGGAGTAAACATAGAAATGACTTTTCAACAAAACCTGAGGAAAGCAATTTTAACAAAAAAAAAGGATATATGTGTCTAACGTAATCCATTTACAGAACCAGAAAAGAGAAAAGATAAAGAAACATGTAAAAAACATACGATTTCCTCGTAAAGGTGGATCACTCTCTCATTGGCTAAATTCTGGATGCTAAGATCTTGTCTAATAGACCTTGTTCTGTCGAAAATAAAATCATGAACCAGTTCAAACGGGTGCTCCCTTGAGTCCAGCAAACTTAGAAGGTATCTCAGAGTTTCTTCTAAAACCGGGAGCGATCTTACATCCGATGCCTGAACATCCGCCGCTGATAGGGTTCTGCAAAACTAGCAAGAACACAAAGAAGGTATAACAAATTTTGGCAAGGACAAAGATGAGTCCCATTATACAGGGCAGTTGGTATCTCCTAGTAAGAAATGCAAACTATTCATCTTGACCATTATTAGAAAGAAATTTTAAACCTCCTATTTTTGTTTTTCTGTTGAAGCAAGAAATTGGCTGCTAATGTGTAAAGATGCGGGAATTTCAACATCAAATTTCTTTCAATCACAAAGTTTGTTCTATTAGATTTCTCTCGCATACCCCACCTCACACAAAGCTGCAGACTTTGATGTGCCAAATATAGAAAGCGTAAGCCTCAGCTTAAGGTGAAAGTTTCCAAGATGACATAATCACTGTCTACTACTATCATACCTTTTTGACAGCTAGATCTGTGGATGATTTTGTGGGGTTGCCATTAAGCCTCTCCAAAACTGCGAGATCACGCAGGCGTTCTCTTGTGACTCTTTCCCGCTCTGTTAAATAAGGATAACAAAACAGTTTAACCGAAAGCTGTATACATCTTTTGCCTGATGGACGTGGTATAACTCATCCTTATCGCATTTATAAAACCGAGACATAAGAGTGAGACACTGTGAACACTGAAAATCTTCAGTTTTTCCTTCCTAAAACGATTTCTTGAGAATTCACACTCATCCCAAGACCTAATGAGCTACACAGCACTGTTTGAAACTTTGACCAATTCAGTACTACAGAATTGTATATACTAACCAACCTAAGCACTAAATTGTATCCAAATCAAGAGCAGGATAGGGTTGAATTTTGAAGGAATATCAGGTCAAGTAGAAAATTGTAATTGCGGCTTACATAGTTGGATGATTTACCTGGACACATAGAAGAGCAAGTTCCAACGATGAAAGAAACGTCAGCAGGATCTCCGTCCTTATTGGCTGCTTCGTCTGTATCATTGTATCGTTTCCGTGGTACATCGGATCTTCTCCGAAAGGAATCACCGCCGGATCCGGTCCTCGTGATACCAGAGTTCTGATGACTCCGATAAGTTTTCGAAACCCGAGAAGTATCGGCAGAAGAAGAAGAGGAAGAAGAAGAAGAAAAGCCACGATTATGACGATTCATGGCTTAAACTTTCAGAGCAGCAACTTGAAGACAACGAAGGATCCTCCTTATTATGTATGATTCAATTGCGCAATAACTCTAATACCGGTTTCACATTTGGATTGGTTCGATTACTTTATCATCAGTCGTGGTTTGATTTTCTGACTTTCAAAATACGAAAACCATTTGATACGGTTCGGTTCAGTTTCTTTAATCTAAAGATGTTTTCTTTGTCACTTCCCATTTATATTTTTGCTTCATTATAGAAAAAGCTGATTCATCTCCACAAGCACTAGACAGTTGTCTCGTATTCTCTCTTAGCTGTGAAGACTCTATATTCTTTCTCTTTCAGTCCAGTCTCTAACACAACTAAAACGTATCCAACCGAACCGAAATATTCTCTGCAGATCTGTGCCTCAAAATCAAAGAGTGAACACAAATTTGAGACTGCCATTGGCATTCTTTGGCAGAGTATAATCTTCATGACAACTAGATTAAAAACCATGAAAAAACCATACATTTTTTTGAATCGCCATGGAAACAAATTATTTGGCAGATTAAAAAGGTTATTCTTGGTAGACCATTAATGTTATGTACAGAGAAAGAAGACTTTTTGATGAGACCATTCATAATAATAAGTGAACTCTCAGTTTCTTCCGATCCTCAGTGAAGAATCAACACCTTTGTGTCCAGAAGCTGCAACTGCAAAGAGCCTAGCAATCTCTAGCTGAGTGTTGGCCATAATCTCCGTTCGTTTCAAATCCATCTCTCCTCTCTTCACCTCTGCTTCAGCTCTCATCCTCTCGATCTCTTTCATCGTCTCCATTCTCGCTCTCTCCGATCTCATCACCACCTCCGCTAACCACCGTATGCTTCCGGCGATCTCCTCCTTCTCCTCCTTGTATCTTCTCTTCAGTTTCTTCCCTCTCACCTTTGATTTCTCTCTGCAAATCACCGGCGTACTGCTGTCTGTATCCATCTCCGCCGCTTTCTCCGGTTTCTCCTCTGTAAACTCCGGCTTGACTCCATCTTCCTGCACCAAATTTCATCCTTAAAAACCACCCAAAAATGGAGAAAACAAAACTGGTTGATTCTTGACAATACCTTGGGAATCTTGCCAACGCCGTTAGATCCGTGAGAAATCTGAGCAGCAGGAGGTGGCTGCGGCGGATGAGTCACCGGAGGCTCGAGTAGGAGCAAAGGAGCAGAGCAATTCAGAGGAAGAACAGCCTGAGGCTGCACAGAAGAAGTTCCTCGGAGGAGATGATCGAGACGAGGGTAAAGAGGCCAGGAGGAGCCATCGGCAGTAGCGGACTCGGAACGGTACCGTTTCTTCATGGACTCGATCTTGTTCTTGCACTGTGTCTGAGTCTTGGGTGACTTTGTGTGGCTGGCGCGTGAGGACACGTGTTTAGCCACGTCTTCCCAGTCTTGACCCTTGAGCTTGGCTCTGTTCCTGAGAACCCATTTGGTCTCGTAGGCCTCGAGTAGACTCGAGACAGCTCCTTCGCTCCATTCATCGCGCTTTAACCTGTCTACGACGGAGGAGGAAGCAGGTGGCTTCTTGTGGGAGGAATCATCGTGGTTTGTTTGGAGAGATTGGGGATTTTCTTGGTTAGAATCTCCGTCTTCCATGTATCCTCAGGCGAGATAAAACAGAGACAAGACTCAAAAGAGTGTGAAGAAGATTTAGCAATTTTTAATGAAAAAATGTGAACTTTTCGAGGGAAAAAAGGAAGTGGAGAAGAGTGAATGGAGTTTAGCAAAGTGAGTCATAATGAGACTGTAGGAATTCGCTGATGGTCTCAAACTCAAAGTAACCAATGAGTCTGTGTACACGCGTTTCTCGCATCTTCAATGGTCGTCGTGACTTACAGCTAAAGAATATTTTGTGTGAGTTTGCTCATGTTTTTTTCATTCAATGTTGATTTTTTAAAAATTTATGGTTTGCATAAGATTACGAATGCATTATACTCTGTTGATTTTATTTGTTTATTGAAATGTATGTATGATAAAATGTCCCCAATGCTATAGTTTTCAATAAAATATCAATTGCATTACCCTTTGCTTCACAAAAATTAGTGGAGCCACCCACCACAATAATGTTCTAGAGCATAAAAAGGGCAGCCCTTGAAAAGAAATTTTACTATCTTTTTTTTGTCAACAAAAAAGAAGAACATGAAATGTGTTCTACTTTTGATTTTGTTTTTTTCAAAAGGGTAGATAATAATGATTGATTTCAAATTCTTTTTAGTACTCATATAGTCAAGTTTTATGCTTGAATTCATCTATAGCGATAAAAGATTTCCTTTTGTATTCTTTTTCTTTTGGGTGTATAGTGGAGTCAGTCTGAGTGTTAGCGTTGATGTCAAGCCAAACCGCAAAACCATTTATGAAAAGAGAGATGGTAGTGGAGGTTACTCGTGTCGCTCTCTCATCCTTACTATTCTTCTTCTCATGTTTGCTCAGAACAACCTATATTCGAGATTTGCCTACCTTTTAATAGAAAGTTTATATCAAATCTTGCAAATATTTATTAGATTTTCAGGTTATAGATCCAACACACAAAATTGGCTGTCATTATAACGTCTTAAATAGTTTGCTGAACTAACGTCTTTAGGTATTTATCATGACATGTAAACTACTAATGCTATTGGACGAAGATACTAGTAATTTGCCAGATTAGCGCTTTTTTTTTTGGTTTATGAGTTTTAACTAGGGATGGCGTTAATTCCGAACTGAACTAAACCAACATGACCAAACCAAGAATCAGAAAGTTTGAGTTCTACAAGATTGTGAATTTAAATATATACTCTAGTATTAAAGTTCGAACAAAAAGAAGGTCCACATGTTTATTCTTCTCTATTAATCGGTTATGTTTGAAAAGATTAATAGCAAAGATAAAAAAAAAACTTACGAAAGATTGACTTGACAATCAAAAACAAAAATCATTAATTTATAGTGCTTCCATAGTCCAGAGCTTAAAACACCATAGGGATAATACGAAATCGACCCAAAAAACACACACACACACAATGGCACAAAGATGTATAAGTTAGGTGCAAGTTTCACGGGAAATGCCGAGCCTGGAATTGGGAAGGTCGATGAGGACACGGTGGTTCTGTTGCTGCATACTAGCGATGACGTTAAGGACTGAGTTTACGTTGTTCGGAGCTGCGGCCATGGCCAGACAGCTTGTGCTACCGGAGGAGCTGTGGATGAGAAGGTTGTCCGGAGGCAGTGTCACGTTCATTCCGGCGAACATAAACGTCACCGACGGGTACACGACGGAGCCGGAGTAGCAAGTGTCGAAACCTCCGAGTGATGTTGCGTTTGCGTTCTTGATACGTCGCCTGAACTCGTTTCTCACCGCCACGTAAGCTGGTTCCACTAGCCTCGTGAACACCGTTCCTGCGCGTATGCACGTATATTGAAAGTGTTATATTCGTTAAATAGTAATTAGAAAACTTCGTCATCCGATTGAGAAAGTAAAAAAGATTAATTTATAGGTCTATGAAACTTTTGAATTGAGCATTTTGGTTTCGGTTAATGGTTAGTTACGACAATAACAACCAAAATTAATTTATTTTGTTCCATAACCATTTTGAGTCGGCTTGCGTTTGATTTGGTTTTTTCAGAAATTTTAAATAAAAATATAAGTAAATAAGTATCGTTAAAAAAATTAGTAATATTTCTGTTAATTAATTAAAAATGTTTTACTTTCTTAAAATGGTTTGATCAGCTTAATTTTTGGGTTTAATTTTATAGCGTTTGTATCGGTTCACCATATCTTCAGTTTTCAAGTCTATGCGTTGATAGGTTATAAAAAAGAAAACACTTTGGTACTATTTTGATTTGGTTTGATTGATATATATACAATTAGGTGAGTTTTTTTTTTTCCTTTTTTTGATAATCAGAAAATCTCCGATTCACTCCAAAGTTTATGAAAACCTCAATTTTTATTTATTTATTTATTTAACATGTAAACTTCACTTTGGGGGCATTGAACCCACCACATGGTGGAAGGTACTAGTCTCCCTGAGAGTTATTATTCAACATAATATTAATTTTTCAGATCACAAGCAAATAAGATTAAAAAGAGGATTGAGAAGTCAATACCGGAGTCAAAGATGGTGCCGGCTCCGGTGGAAGCATCAAAGGCAAGTGCACTTGTAGGGATATCCACAATTTTGTTCCCGACACGAATCCCAACCAAGTTAACATAGTAAAGCGATGATCTCCTTGGGTTCTTTAACAATGGGGTGGTCTTGATCCGAACTGGTTGATACTTAGGTCCCAGTCTTAGCGATCCGGAGAAATTGCTTGACTTACTATTAGGCAAGCAATACGAGAATGTGGACATATAAAGGTTTTGTGTCTGCGAGATTAAAGACAATGGACCACGACCTAAGCCCATGAGCCCTTGCGCTGGCAACGATGTTCCAGTGGCCTTGCTAATGCACCCAAAGGTGTAGCTTTTGATGACGTCATTGGCTAATGTTAGTGTGTCTTGCGTCAGAGATGCTTCGATGGTTGAACCACCGTAGGTCATGTTGAAACCACATGATTTGCCTGCGGTGCACGTTGGATTTGGAGCCTGCAAAATAAAAACTATAACGATTAAGAATTTTGAATATTTCTCACTTTACAACTTATTTTCCATAAAGAGTTGTTTTATCCATCTTGGATCTGGTTATGGATGCATTATTAAAATGCGCTAATGACGATGTGTTATGTATTTTAATCTGTACGTGAATTTTTGTATTAATAAGCAAATACTAACCAGCTTGACGACAAAGACAATAGATCAAACAGTAAAATGTGTCGTACTAGTTGGTATAGTTTAGAAAGTTGACGAATCTAATACTGTATTTAAAAATACCCGTGACTAGACTCGTTTTGTTATGAATAGTACATAAAGCACGTGACTAGAGTTCTCGATGATGGTGTAATAACACCGCCAAAATTAAGTTCACATTTTTGCGTGTATAATCAACACTAGACTCCAAACTGAGTGGTCCTTCAGTTCGGTTTCGGATTTTTTGGTTTGTGAAAACTTAACCCGAATAAGACCCTATCCTATAAGACCTCTTTACTAGGAGTTTTACAAAGAAAGCGGGTCTCAAAGGTTCGAATCTCGATAATGCGTTGGGAAAATGATTAAATTTACATGTTTTTTTATTGTTCTCTAACTTAAAACAATAAAAAATAGTTTACTAACCTGAACAAATTAAGTTCAAGATTTGTTTTGGTAATCCAAAACATTATAAGACCCGAGATATTTGTGGTTCCCTCTCAATTTTTTTGGAAATTTGGTTTGTTTTTGAATGATAAGACTACGTTATTAACAAATCAATCATTAAAATGTCTCTTTTAGTATAACTAAATGCATTTTGTCTACTTAGATGTAGTTTAAAATAATTTGTGTTGGTTTATTCATTTCGGTTTATACGGTATAAGAATATCGTTACCGTTCTGATTTGAAGAATTTCAGTTTTTGGCGTCCATCCAAAAATGGCATATATACCTAATCTACTCCAAGAGTTGTATATTATACAATAACTAATTACAGTACCTGTTTACACTGAGGAGCATCGCATTGAAGATTGCGAGAAGAGCTAGACTTGGAAGGGTCAAAGAGAACAGAGGAAGCACATCCAACACAGCCAGAACAAGGAACCCAAGCAGCGTCGTTGCTAGTGTCAAGAGCCACGAGCATGGGCTGAGCCGGTGTCCCAATGTTAGCCCTCACGATGTAAGTCGGGCTCTGAACGATGGCGCGTCCCGAGGCGATTGGGACCGAAGGTTTCTTGGCAAGGCTGGACAAGTACTGGAGACGAGCCTTGTCTTTAAGAAGTGTGCTTTCCCATGAGACAGTGTTTGGTTGTTTGAATGGAGAGCAAGGACTGTTAACGTGGAACACTCTTAGATCTGAGGGATGGCCTTGTGGATTATTTTCATTGCAGTTTAGGGATTCAGATTTCAAGATTAAGAGAGAGATGAACAAGAAAAGAAGATTCGTTCTCATTTTTGTAGATCTTGAGTTGATATACTCTGTGGTTTTTAGTGTTTGTTTGAGTGAATGTGTGAGTGTATGTTTATATAGTGAGTGATGACGAGTGTGTTGAGAAAGTAATAAGAGTATACAAAACAATTAGTGGGGTTTTATTTATATTTAAGAGAAACAGACTGTATTCCATCTCCTATTTATTTGTTTGTTTCTATCTGTTTCTTGGGTCCACTCTAATATTGGCTTTCTCTGCTCGATCGACATGCTTTGCTCTCCCTCCACAAAACTCATTACACAAGGCCCTTGAGTCAAGGGGTTGTAATTTGTAGTTTGTTTTATGTTTTTATCTAATTTGTTTTGTGTATTAGTACCAGTTGATTTTTCTCAATTTGAAAAGACTTAAAAATAATTATTTCATTATGTATATATCCTTCTTTTTTTCCTTAAATCCATCATGGAAAAACTCTACAGTTAATCATGTTTGAGTTGTAACACATTAGTTATGTATAACATACGAAAAAGTGATTTTTGTATGGTGTAAAACACCAGATCAAATAACGGTATTAACGTCACAAAATAAATTTACTATTTAGAAGATTTGGAAGCATCCAAAAGCTATTTGTAAGACTTCATATTTTTCTATTTTTTCATACAGAAACTGGAAAGAACCAAAGAAGGATTATATATACCCAAACCAACTCTCACATCAAAATTTCTAATCCATTATTGGCCTATTTGAACTCATTTATCGAATGTTAATTGATCTGATAAAACAAATTGAACGTTTAGATGATTAATCGGTCTATTCATAAACGATGCATATTCTAACAATGTTTACAATTTTGATGGATATCGCTATACAAAGATTTTTAGAGAGTTAAGAGGGAATTAGATCCAAATATACAAAGGAACGTGTGGACCGGTTTTGCTTAAGAGATCGTAGTTTGATATTTTACAAAATGAGAAATGTCAAAGCTATCACGTGAGGAACGGCTAGTGGAAGACCGACATCAATGCATTATGTTTTGTTGCTTAATATGGAATGTACCACACTACTCAATACTCATTACCATGTGGTGGGTTATATCTGACGTTGGCCTCTTCTCCACTCTATGGTGCTGTCCATCAATTATTCATTCTCATTTTAAAGTTTTAGTTCTGTAAAGTATTTCCATTGTTGTTTGTTTCGTAGAGTTGATTGTGATATCTAAATATCCTAGACACTAAAGAAATTTTGATATAATTTGGAACATTTTCAATATGACCAAAAATCATTTTATAGCATTTTAGTACTAAAAAATTGTTTGGGCCTTTACCTTAATCTGTTCTTTTTTTAATTGATCATTGACCCACTAGCCTGGGCATATTTTCTCTATTCCTTTGGGATGGGCCTGGCAATTTCTTGATTACATCTTGGATCTCTTTTTCCCCCTTTTTTTTTGTTTCAATTTCATTTGTTGACCAAATTATACTTTGGATGCTACTCATGGAACCAAATCTTCTAACAAATGTGAACTGAAACACTATTGCATAGTCAGCGAATTAAAAAGTCAACTATTAATAGTCAGGCAAACATCTCCATCACATAAGAGACGACTTTTCCAAATTGTTCGGCCTTCTTATATATGAATTGAATATGAATATGCAATATTAGTGGCTCCGATCGCGTCCACACTTTTACATTACGACTTTTCTTCCATACCGTCCCACACTATATTTAGGCGTAACACCATTACTTTTTCCTCTATTCTCCAAACAAAATCAAAATGTTGACTCACACAATTTCTAAATCCATCTCTATAGTAACCATTCTTTTAGCTCTACAAGCTTTCTATACCAAAACAAAGGCTCAAAACTGCGGTTGTTCGTCAGAGCTATGTTGTAGTCAGTTTGGATTTTGCGGTAACACTTCAGACTATTGTGGTGTTGGTTGTCAACAAGGGCCTTGTTTTGCTCCTCCTCCTGCAAATGATGTGTCGGTGGCCGAGATTGTTACTCAAGATTTCTTCAATGGAATCATCAATCAAGCCGAGTCTAGCTGCGCAGGCAATAGATTTTACAGCCGAGGAGCTTTTCTTGGGGCCTTAGACTCATATTCTCGTTTTGGTAGGATTGGATCCGTCGATGATTCTAGGCGCGAGATTGCATCGTTCTTTGCTCATGTCACGCATGAAACTGGACGTAAGTATTACTTAATGATAGTGGAAATATCTTAGTTGCATAGAATAATCATAAAACGTTAAAAACTAGTATTTTTGTTTTGTTTGTTCAGATTTCTGCTACATAGAAGAAATAGAGGGAGCCTCAAAGGATTACTGCGACGAGAATGCAACGCAATATCCATGCAATCCTAACAAAGGCTATTATGGCCGTGGACCGATCCAACTCTCTTGGAATTTCAACTACGGCCCGGCAGGAACCGCAATTGGTTTCGACGGCCTCAATGCACCAGAAACAGTAGCCACAGATCCAGTCATATCCTTCAAGACCGCCTTATGGTACTGGACCAATAGGGTTCAGCCTGTTATCTCTCAAGGTTTTGGTGCAACAATTCGAGCCATTAACGGCGCTTTGGAGTGCGATGGGGCAAACACAGCCACCGTTCAAGCTAGAGTTCGCTACTATACTGATTATTGTCGTCAGCTTGGTGTTGATCCTGGAAACAACCTCACTTGCTAACAAAACATAAGAAAGACATGCTTAAGAATGTAATGGCCCATTAATGTTTTAGTTTTTGGTCCCTTGATTATATATATAGATGTCCACAGAATTAAAGAGCCATTGAGATGTTGAAAACAGAGCAAACTAACTCTATGTACAAATAATGCTATGAACTTGTTTCATCATTTTTTAGAAAGACATGGAAAAGCTTTGTTGTGATCAACGCCATAGTAATGAAGAAAGCCTTTGAAAACATGACCGTTTATAGTTACCGTCGCTTGATAACCGATCTCTGCTTGTTCGTTGTTGCTTATCGCTGTTACTCTCGTCCGTCTAAAAACCGCCGGAGCTTCGATTTTCCCCGGTAAGCCTTCTTTGAAGCTCGTCTCTGCAATTTCCTAACTTTATTAATCCCCAAGTAATTCTTCAGATCCCCAGAAAAAAAGGTTTTTTTTTTTTCAATTTCAATTTGAAATTCATTACCTTGGCGAGAAGTGGTTGTCCGAACGATCGAGACATTAGCGGAATTGTATTTGTCAGAGTAATCGATTCTGAGCTTCTTCTTCCTGTCGGAGGAGGACGAAGAAGAAGAAGGAACCCACGTGCTCTTCACGTGAGTGGCACATTGATAGCCTCTGGTTTTGCAGCAAGTCCTACACCTTTCGAACAAACACTCTTTCTTCGCTCTGTTTCCACAGTCTCTGCATACTTTCTCATCAACATTGTTGTTCCTTGCCTTGTTGTCTTCCACCGCCGCGAAATTTGCCGGCGACGGTGAGGTCTGTGTGATCTGCGAAGGTGGTGCTGCGAGAAGGATGTTTCGTAGACCTAACATGTGGTCTGGAGTAATGTTGGCAGAAGCGGCGACGGCGGAGAGGGAGGAGGAGGAGTGATCAGGTGCGGCGGAGAAAGGTGTCGGTGATGGTTGATGCGGTGGCCATGGTTGGAGAGAAGAAGGTAGGTTTGCCACTGTGGCAGTAAGTTATAAAGCGCGTGGAGGCTATGTTGTAGAAGTCGTAGCCTCGTAGGAGGAGGAGCTTTGGCTATGGAGTCTAGTGTCTAGTGAGAGATTGAGATGGCAATAAGATGAAGTGAAAAAGAAAGGATTTTTTTTTTTTTTTTATTACAAGAGTTTTGTGGTCACATGTCTTTCTAGTGGTTAAAAAGAAGGGTGGGTCCCATTTCATTGGAAAAGCACCCGCCTAAATTGGCTTTTTCGCCACCATTAATATCCCACTTTCACCTTGTGCGTCTATGTTCCATAGTCAACTTTTGAATATCTAATTACAGTCTTATTTATTAAACTCTAATTATTTTCGAATTTGGGTTTATTAGTTGGAGATATATTTGTTTTGTTTTGGTTTTGATAGTGTATATCCGTAGGGGATACATTTGTTAAGAGGTTAAACGATGTAATTACGGATCAAATGGTTTAGTGTATCTCTGTTTGGCATGGATAGTTCGTAACATGAATATTAGAAGAATGTAGGTGTTGAGAACAAAGATATCACAGAGAAACTATGCATTCGAATGTTTTAATTTATTAGGTTGTTCACTTGTGGAATTAAACTTAGATTTATTGCAAACACTCAACTCATATCAGTCATATGGATTCTAGCACGGAAGTTGATTCTTGTAGATGTCCAAGACCGAAGTGGCTGCTGTAATCGGACACAACCTGATAGAGAATGAATATGGTTCGGGCGGAATCAGATACTTCTCGTGAACACACGGTGTCCAGCTATCATCTCCCCCAACCCCCATGTGTTTATGGTCAAGATGCACCTGCAGAGAATAATCACCATTGAAATGGACAAGTCAAAAAGCTAACCAAATGCAAACACAAACAAAATGATCAGGTTCTTGATTAAGTTATCTCATCGAAAGTAGACATGAATTTCCATTCTTGAATTCAAAAAGCTGCTCAATTGGATTGAAGACAGGGAATAATAAATACCTCGATGTTTTGTCCTTTGATAAGATCCTCTTCGTGAGTTGCACGATGAAGCTCACTGGTTGTATAGTAACTTGCATTCATCTGCATTGGGGAAGAGCTACCATATGTTGATGCATATATTCCTACACCATCTTTGTTTCGGAATGTAACCCACCTAACATCTGTTCTACCCCCACATTCTCCTGGAACAATATAAGGGACATGCATGTCTCCAACATTGTCTTCATATATCGCCACATGTGCTGCTGATTTTCTGTCAGGGTAACACTCAAATGGACCTCTTCCATACCATTCTACACGGTCCAATGTTTTCTCTATGTGGAATTCTATACCTACTCGTGGTAGGGGTGGAAGATCAGAGTTTGGTACTACATACCAATTGGTGATGATATCTCCTGAGCCATAGATCATATATGTCACACTGACATTGAATAAGGCATCTGATTTCGAAGAGTCAGAAGCTGAAGAACCAAGGTAAATGAACTCTATCTCTACGGATTTATCTGTGATGCTCTTCACTGAACAGCTTTGAACAAGGAACTGAACATTATCCATATGTGCTGCTTTCCACCTCGAAAAATAACTAGAGTCATCTCCACCTTTATCATTGTCTGTAGGAGCTCGCCAAAAGCATGGCAGTATAGCTTCTTTCGTAAGCAGAACCCCTTGCATCTGTCATTTCGAGATTAGCTTAAAAACCAAAGATTCTTACTAAATCTGAGAAAGTGTAAAACTTCCATAAAAACACCAACCAAGAAAAGACCTTCAACATTGAATAGATTTCTTATTTAGTTAACGTTTTGTATTTTTCTCCTTGCTAGTCTAGCTAGTAAGATTCCTTTTTTCTATCATAGTTCTTTATTGGCTGCAACTATGTCCTCAGTAAACCCCAATTGAGTTTCAAAAAAGTCGAAAAACTGGTTATTGTCGGCTATATCAAACTTTAGACTCCGACATTACCATTTACTTGGGAAACCTATATGCCTGCAGTATACAAGACTCCTTCCCTATACTTTTGTGCATTAAGAGATAGTTTAAGAGCTTCCCAATCACGATATAAAACTGAAAAGATCTTACCTTCCAGCCCTCAATGGCTCCTTTTCGGACATCTATCATTAGCTCCCATGAATCTTGCTGACTGATCTTAATGAAATCTCCAACAGTTTCGCAATTGATAATAGCGTCTGTAATTTTTATCGCCTAGAAAAGGAGGTTACTACTTCAATTGTCATGACTTCATATTTTCTAGCGGAAGGAAGAGACATCTTTCCAAAACAAATATGAGTTGGAAATACCTGCGGTATTATCTGTCTCTTTGCTGGCAAAGGAATCTGTGTTGAAGACAAGAGATGACCAGCTTGAAGCGAACGAGTAGGATTTAAAAGTTTTGCAGTTATTGTCAGAAACGATTCTCCAGTATTTGAGTCATTCCAGAGAGAAAACCATGGTCCTGACTTCCACTCCATATCATAAATATTCTGTGGCTTTATCACAGGAATAGAGAGAGTCCCAGATCCAAGTTCAACACCATCCCCATGAATTGTCCAGCTAAACTCCAATTCTTCTGTTGTATGGAAAAAGTAAGCATTTGCTACCTGCAAAAATAAAGATTGAGCTAAGTAGAAAGGATTAATACCAAAGCCAACTGAGCTGAACTATATTAAGTTGTACCCTCATTGTGCCATCCGTCAATGAAACCTTGATTGGTTGATAACAATGCTTAACCTCTTCATCAACACAGAGAAATGATGCAAACAGAAGAAAATCAGACCCATTTGAAAAATGTAACATGTCAAGTATTTTTAAAAAATCCTAATATACGCTTCGGATTTATGTTCCTTTATGAAGCTAAAATTTCTATTTCTTGATTTAGGAAAATATTTCGGAGTCTATTTCTTTCCTAATTCCTTAGTGCCTTGCTTTAATCAGAGATCTCATTTGTGAGACTCATCCACGCTAGAGAGAGCATTAGAGGAAATATCAGTTCTCTTTTCAACCGGAAAAAAGCTTTTAAGCGTTGTTATACGATTTTGGTGTTATGATTCTGATTTATAAAGAAGAGCTTTTGGTTTTCTTTTGTGATTCTTAACTCTATCAACTCCACGGAAGAATGACTAAAGACATTACTACTGCTGGAACAGAGAGATGTTTGGATGTTTTAGAGAAAAATCAACAAATTCTGGGTGAAAAGTTGGATGGTATTCAAGCTGGTTTGAAGGACGTTTTAGAAAGAATTTCGAGGCTAACAGCAGTGGTTGCTGCAATTCAAGAGGGCACGATATCTGAAGCATCTCAAGAAACGTCTGCAGATTTTGTTGTGATCCCTATAAAGAGAAACCAATGTGCCATAAACAAGTTTGACGATTTCAAGACTCAAGCAGCAGAGATTCCCGACTTAGATACAGATGGAGAAGTTGTCATATTTAAGCTCCAATCTCAAGTTTCTGTGGAGCAACGGCCCACACTTGCTTGTGGAGACCAACAAGTTTTGACTGATTTGGATTTCGATGAGGATGATTTCATTGTTTTGGAAGGGCGTGGTTTGGAATGAATTCCTTGGTTTCTTGGTCACTGTTCGAGTCCAGCCTCGAGGACAAGGCTAGCTTTCAAGCGGTGTTTTAGTTATATGTTCTTAGGAGTTAGGATATCTATATCTTTTATTAATCTTTTTTTTTTTTTACTAGAGTGCTTTGCTTTTACGTTTTAGTATAAAATAAGGATGAGATATCGTTTTGAGAGTCATTCTAAGTTAAGAGAGAGCTTGGAGGGATATTGGTTTTAAACCGTGGGTAAAACTTTGTTACGCTTTGTTATCGGCTTTCCCACAGGAAATGTTTCGAGCATTTTAGATTTTAAAAGTTTACTTGTTTTAGTTTCTAAACTATATAACTTTTCAACCTAGGGAAAAGCTGTTTGGTTTTCTTAAGTGATTCTTATAACTCTATCAAGATGTTACCATGGAGTGCTGGATGAGGCGTTCGGTCAGGCCAGATAAGCCCATTCAGACAGAAGTTCAAATCATTAGGCTGGTCACCAAAGTCCCCTCCATAAGCCCAATGCTTAATGCCATCTGACCCCAGCTTCAATAGTCCCTGAATGACAGAAGAAGGCTAATGTTGAAATAAGAACTACAAAGAAAAGCATATTTTTTTTTCTAATTTTATGCATGGATTTGGTTGATCATATGTTACTGCAGTGGTTTGGTACCTATAGAATCTTACCAAAGATCTAATATTAACTTTATGTTACATGAATAACAACTTTCGGATAGAAGAGATTAACAGGTTTTAACTCATTTGTTAGATGCATTATTGTATGACGAATTGGTTTATACAAAAATTCAAGATATAAACCTGGTCAACCCAGTCCCATATGAAACCTCCTTGCAGGCCAAAGGTATTGTCAATCGCCTCCCAGTACTCGTCTATATTCCCGTTGCTATTGCCCATAGCGTGTGAATACCTGCATTTTTATTGAGAAGAAAATCTCTCAAGTACACACAGAAGAACATGATTTCTAGACAATGATGCAATACATTGTCACCATATGATGCCAATGCATTTCAGGGAAAGTGAAGTGAGGAAACTGATATCACATACTCGCATAATATCAAAGGACGTGATTCATTTTTATCAAGTGCAATCTTGACAATGTCCCAAACCCGCATGTACATAGGGCAGACTATATCAGTAGAATCTGTTCTGGAACCACCACCTTCATAGTGCACCAACCGTGAGGGGTCCTTTTCCCTAATCCAACCTGTTCAAGAAGTTAAACAGCAATAGCTGTAAGATAAAATGGATAGACTTGAAATTTACAATAATAGGCAAGCTAATTATCCATCAGAAACGTAAACAACAAGGATATTTGAAGATCTCAAAAATGCTCTTCACATAAGTTATTACTTAAGCATTATGGCCAGACCTAAACTTACAGATAATTTTATTAATACAAATTCACGTAACACTGCCTTTAAAATTAACTCAAGGGAAAGAAAATAGTATAGATAACAAAAAAATGTCTCCTCCAAACCAAGGTAATGCACATAGAAAGAGAGAGAAAGAGAGAACACACACATGCTTTTGAGAGATTACTCTTAGAAAGAAAGATAAATTACTGATCAATCAAATAGCACACATTTCAATTGGAAAGCTTACCTGCCATGGCCGAATGGTTAGGTCCATAGTTAGCCTCATTTCCCAGGGACCAAGAAATTATGCACGCATGGTTTTTGTCTCTCTCAACCATCCCAACTACTCGATCCAACATAGCAGC